TGAAATCAAATAAAAGTGGGGAAAATGGGCAATCCCAACGAACGCCACTTGTTGTCATCAAGTCATCCGTCTGGTCACATTAGACCCTGACGCGGCCTGTAGTGTTTGCTTACAGAGCAAGTGTAATGTTCAGATATATCATGGGAAGTACTGTCCACGCAATTTTTCGAACGGAATGCATGGATGAACTGAAATGAACGCCCTCTTGAAATCGAAGGACAAAGCAATTGTCGGTCTACGATACGTGTGGTGCTGCTCTAGCACTTGTCGAGAAGTGAAGATGTGGTCTATACAGCCACGTCATGAGCGAAAACCTGCCTGTTTTTCCGAGATTTTTCCGTTCTACATTAAGGCGAGGAACGAAAATTGGGGCCACCAATTTTGTCACCACCGGCGTCAGGTTTATACCCCTATGCTATGCATAATCGATGCGGCTCCATTTATAATTTATGACTACTATAATCCGTCCACTCCAGTTATCCGAGGTGGTCTCTTCCTTTTAGACCTGTTCTAACAGTGAGACCTGTACTTTGTAAAAAACCTCATTGCCATTCTTATTTAGCGCAGGTGGTAGGGAATCTGGGCAAGCGGCACAAACAGGATTGGGGGCTGTGATTGCGTTTTGGACCTCAGCGTCCTCTGTGGGCTTTAAACTAACCGTCCATGGCTCATCCTGCTTCACCTGAGTGGGTAGAGTTCCGGAAGCAGGCGGCCAAATGAACTGATCTAAAAATTGCTCCGCCCAACAAACCATACGCCAATCAGTGTAACTGGGCTGTCTCTGATTGTCTGCCTGACGCCTCGTTTCCTGGGACCAGTGGTGCGGATCAGCTGGAAGAGCTTGCGACTGTTTCCTACTGCTCATGCCCCTACAGTTCCTGGAGGCGATTGGTCCACCAGACTTCCTTCTCAGCAGACATGCTCCGCTTAAGTTCGTGCCTTATAATCCGTCTGGTTATATTGTGACCAGATCAATCAAGGAGATTTCTTCTGGGTTCCAACCGGTTCGCCGATCTGTTGACTGTCAAGTGACAGGTGCGGTCGATTGATGGCACCAACAGCAGATGCTCCTGCGTCGTGAAAGATAGCCGAGACCCTATTCCACCGAAGCAAAGTGTCATTAGGACAATTGTGCGAAAGTTCGGCACGTAGTGCATGACCGAGTGCTGAGATAATTGCTCAGTTGTCAATCGAGGGAGACGTTTAGCTCGCCTCCCCGTAAAATTCGTGGAAGAACCAAGGTCTGCCAAGGCATGACCAGAATTGACGAAAGCAATCCAGAGGGAGCGGTAATCCAGAATGGAACTACGTCGCCTGGCAATGTGAATAATTTGGGCCCACCACTGGTCAGCTATCGTAGGACGCCAAGTGGCACTTCCGCTCCCACTGTGTCTAAAAGCAGTGTTACTAAAAAAGCAGCTGGTGCTCCATGCCCAGTTACAACAGATGCTCGCCGTTTTCCGTTCGTTAGCTGTGCACGGCGCAGTCGTACTCTCTAAAACATGGACGCACCAATGAGTACTGCCAGTTCAAAGATACTTTTGTTGATAGCCCTTTTTACGCACGAAACTCAATTCTTCACTCCAGAGCGAGGAATCCGGTATTGAGTGCTGCTGATGTGCAATATCGGTTTCCTCGCTTTACCGGGTAACTGGTGGAGGGAATCTCTGTGAGGGGATCAATGTGTCGGATGAAGATTCACAAGATATGACATTCGGGATCTTTCTACAGTTGTTGAAATGCTGTTTAACTATCTGACTGGAAGATGTTGTCCTCTTGCAACACAGCAATCTCCAACTGCTTCCGAGCTCGACTGCATGCATTAAGTAGACATAGAAAGACTGTATTGTTACCCGAGGCTTTTAAGGTACCAAGCAAAACTTATGCCCGTGAGTCACTGATACACGACGAGCAGCACTGGTTAAACGATTCACTGGGGTTATTTAGTAGAGCGTTACCAGTGGGGACGCTGTAGCCTAGATATAGGCGCTTCAGCCAACATACATCTTCTCCAGGTATGAGTCGCATGCTAGCTGCTTCTGCCAGACGACTGGACAAATCCACGAAACTGATTGTGCAGCGAAATGTTACGACGAGACAACGCCTAAGAAGCATCCAATTCAGGTGCGGTCCTAGTGATCAAACAGACTTAAATTCACTTCACATCCAATTCTGTCCTAAATGGAATCGCTTGTCGCAATCCAGTAACAAATTCTGGTTGGTATATGTCGGCCGGACTCCGTCAGACAGTCACCACTGCCAATTGTCAGCAGCGCTAACCAGCCAGATCCTATTGAGTCCCACCAGTGACTTCATCTATTATACCAAAAGAGATTAGAGTAGATCACAATCTTCAACTGCGTGTTGCAAGTTGGCCCGGGTTATCCTCAAAAGCATGAAAACAATTTTCAAATGACTGATAGCATCCACTCTTTCACCATGTGATTTGACCTTCTAACTATTAAGAGAACAGCTATAAGACATCCATTTTTTGTGAACGAACTTAATAACCATTCTTTATTCTTCCTATTTTCTACTTCGTGACCGTTGTTTAAATGCTACACTGTGTTAGCCCGATTGGTACACACACGTCATTGGTAATGGACGCTCGTGGCCGTGTCCACTTCAGCAGGGCTATTTGCAAGAACACATTTCATTGTTTTTTCGCACCACTTACCTACTTGGTTATGTGAAAAAATATTTAGTTGTCACACAATGATTATACTAGTTTTTAATTGTTTGGTGTGCGCTTCTTATTCGCGTTTGTTTCATGACATTTGTTTAAACGCTACATTTCGTTATTCTGATTGGCCAGGGCCCGTCACTGTAAATAGATGTTCGGTTTACGCTTGGGGTCCCATGATGTTATTTTTAAGGACATATGCGACTCGCTCTTGAGTATATGGTTGCTTAATCATAGTTGCATTTGACGTTTTCCTTCTGTTGATTGGCTCAAATGTGATTTAGTAGCTTCCCTTCATGTTGCCTTCAAAACTATATGACCAAATGTGATTTCATACATGGAAATCTCTTTCTGGCTCGTCTTTGGACTTCTTCTTGCGGTCGTGGGGCGAAGACGTCAGTGGCGACACAGCGGTTATGTTTACCGCTTCTTACCTTACTTACTTTCTCGATGTTCGCAAACATTTTCTTTGTGTATTGGACTAAACTGCCAATTCTGAATTCGTGCAGATAGTTAATTTGATCTTAAAACCTATTTTAAATATATTTTATGTATGATGCAAAAGCGCTCCATTCGGTATAATTCGTCATAATAATCGGATCAAACTGGTGACCTATGAACTAGTGACCCGAAAAGCCAATGCGTCCGACCCAATCGCGGGCTGCATGAGATGTGGAGCACGGCTACCACTCTCACCCTCCCAGCCAATCATTTTGCTTTATCTGCCAAGTGATTGGTCACCAATTGCCCGCTATGCCAAGCGACGGCGATAACGTTTCCCCTTCGGCAACCTCGGTGTAATCCTCCATTATGATGATAACTCAACAATACTAACAAACGGTTCCAGAACACTGTTCGGGTTTCTCTGATTGCAGTGTAGATTACTTTCCTTTGCAACCATACCTATCAGATCTGTGTCGAAAAACTCATTGAAATAATGAATGGGCTTTCTGATTTTTTCAGAATCAAAGAGAGCAGAATGTCAAATTGGAATGTCTTTTGTCGAATTATGTTGTTGCAATATTTTTCACACTAACCTTGGCTGTCACTTCCTTTCAGTTAATGTTGACCGCTTTCTTACGGCTAATATTTTGGTTGCAGGGTTAGGGGCTGGTTACTTTGCTGCTGGAGTAACAGCTGGTAGCCTTCCGGCAGAAGTGTGACTTGTGATAGCATTTGCAGCATGAAGATTGTTGCTGCGCGGTTTTTATCTTCCGCTGTCATCACCTGTGCTAGAACTACTGCTGCTTCTATCAGCAAGCTGTGGTAACGGTGTTGGAATGTAGTCTCATTCGCTATCACCGCTGTCACTGAGATTGCTGTCGTCAATTTCAACTGCTGGAAACCTGGTAAGATGATTGATCCTACTAGGAACTCTTGGAGCTCATTTGCCATGGGAAGTCGATTGCTCCATTTATTCAACCGAAAAAAATTAGGAGTAGAACATTTGAAATACATGAACTCAGCAGCGAAATTTCTATTATGACGTCTAGCAATACAAACGCGATATTTTCATTTGTCCCCATTTGTGCACAATGTGGCGAAAACGCCATATACCCTAATATCGTTAATAACTCCAAAACTTTCCATCTCAAGTCATGCCTACTGGGATGTTAGCAGGACGTATGCACAATAAGCAAGTACATCTCTTTTGTTTTAGCATATTTCAATTTTTTGTGTGACACCCTGAGTTTGAGCCAAATTTCGCATATAACCCCGTTTACACGCTTTACATTCTAATAGTTGTAGATTCAACACAGACCGCGAAGTGCGCTGATCTGTGACACGAATAGAAAGATATGTAAGTCCCGAAAATTTCACAACCGGAGCTGAAAGGAAACCTATGCATTGTAAATTGCATTTGCAAAAAACAGACGGTTTGATGTTTTCGACACACGGAGTTAAGGGGTTAATATTCCCTTCAGCAAATTTCACTTTGCAGCTCATAGATAGTTCGCCGGTCTTCCTTCAAAATTGGCCTGAGTTAGTTGAAAATCATAAATGAAAACTCATGAGTGTGTCTACGATGTGAAGGATGACACAGCAAAAATGGTTTGCTGTAGTCGCATGACGCATGGGACGAGAGTTAATTTGGACTCAGTTGCTTCGTTACACTTTCGCTTCTCCCTATTAACCTGATCACAGGATGAATAAGGTAGGTTTTTTCTTTGAACCTTTTTCCTTCTTTTTCTGTTACTGTGTCAGTACACTTGCTGATGGGATTTTCCGGCAGACCAGTTGTACATACGTGTTAGTCACTATCAAGATATAGACCAACGAGATCATATTATCCGACCCAATTCCTTCTAATTTCAAGGGTGTTGAACCTGACCGAAGTGCCGCTTTCTCCGCCTCCCTGAAATGTGGGAAACCGTTTTACGTCCCTTCTGAACAAACCATAGCTGACGGTACGTTGATTGGTACAATCAGAAATGCGTGTTAAAATCCATGGAACCGCTTCATTGAATAACAGTCCTTAGAGTAACCAAACTTTACTTATTTACCTTTGCAGGCCTTGCTGTTTCAGCAGTCGGGGTGAACGCATTGCATACCTGTTTGGGTCTGATAGACAAAATGATCCAGGTGGATGAAGCCAGCATCCATCGAGCAATTGTTCGACTGTTGGAGGTGGAAAAGTTCGTCGTTGAAGGAGGCGGAGCGGCATCAGTGGCTGTGTTTATGGCTGATCTCGTGCCAGAGTTAAAGGGGAAAAGGTTAGTCTATCTGATACATTCGGATATAGTACATTCACTTGACTGAAACAAGGGTCAATATATCCTGCTTGGTGGTTTTAAAGTAACTGCATTACAACGATACTACAATATTACTCCTGTTAGACCTGAAGAAACTGTCTTTGAATACGCCCCTACATCCAACCAACAAATGCTTACTCAGCATAAGACTGTTCAAAGTCTATGTTCCTACAGCCAATTAAAATAGACAATATTGTGACGTTCAGACAACAAGTGACACCGCTTAGAGGAATTTCTTTGGAGAAATTGCGCAATTAGTTTAACTAGTCTGCACCCAGCGAAAAAACATAGCTCTTGGCTTGTCAAGAAACAACTCCGAGTCATCTTTCTAAAGTCAGCTGACTAGCATAATCGATACTTTGAGAACTGGATGCCGCTATCTGATTATAGAGGACACTGAGATTACAGCGTGCTGTAAATTTGTTTGAAATAATGGGTATGAAAGTTCTAGTGAACTTCGCTTGTTGTGGGAGTTGAACCCGAAGTTCCACCGGGGAACACGACTAATGTACATAAACGATGAATGTGATTTGCACTAGGAATCTGAAAAAAGCAAAGCGAAGAATTGTGTGGGTAACAAAGTCCAAACCGTAGTCGAATTAACCTCGGGCGGGGACCGATACTGTGCGCATTTGCCCTAGCCTACAATTGCCGATGATCAAAACCTTCACCGATGAAAATAACAAACAGCAAAAAAGAATTCGTGATTTCCTTAGCGTTTACCAATTCTACTAATAAATTTGTTGGGTGGAATCTCAGTTTTGACATGGCAACTTCATCAGATCAGGTGGATCAGCATGCCATTGGAGCGGCGTCTTGTATCGAACCAGGATGACAATCGCAATAAGTGGGACACGCGTCAAAAGGTTATCACAGTCACAGTTCGGTGTGTCCTTATAAGTGCGTTCTCTCACCGTAGGAATAGTCCAGTTGTTACCTCTTGCCTGATCACATTGACAGATACTACTTTGTTGGTGTCGACAGGGAGGCGCTTTTATCTCCAACAGGATCCGCACATCGAACCTTACCAGAATGTCCCATTCGCGCCACACACTCGCGAGTTGCATTCCTATCTATTCTGTACGCGCAGATGCCGTCTTTGATAATTTTCACCGCTTCGGCAAGTAACTGCTGGGGAGTTGCATGCACATCCGTCCTAATGATCTCTACAATATGCAAGTCGAGGTGGCGACCTGTATGCATTCACAACGTGACTAGACCTTAACCTGGTGCGACGGTTTGCGTACCTCTTTGACCCATTCAACTATGATATAGAAGCAAATGTTGGTAGCTCAGGTTGTTCATCTATATTGGGCGGTGCTCTGAACGATTTAAGAGCTAAACCTACCAACTTAGACAACAGTTAGAGGTCAGACAAACCCTGTCCCCTGGTCCTCTGGATTGGGAGCTTGAAATGGGATGGCATTCATTTCAGTAAAACTAAACCATTAGTACATCAGATGTGCTGCGGACAACTTTTGAGTCAAACGCATTTCTTTAGTAGCCTAATAGTCTTCTAGTCTAGTTCTGGACAGTCTGACAATATCTCAGCAAATGTAAAACCATGACTATTTTCCCAAACTTCAAGCACATCCTGCATCGCCAATAGAGAGATTATCATAGGTCGGTTAAACTTCTGCACACAGAAAAGCGGATTGGTGAAAACATGTTACGGCTATCACATCCTGTGTTTTCACCAATGCCTCTTATGCCCCGAAACCCACTATTACGCTTCCTTCCATAAATTTTCTTTTGAAAGGTTATCACCAGCTAACGGTCTGTCTGGTCATGCACAGGATATATATGTCACTAAATGTCCATAGTATCAAGCGAACGACTGAATTGGTCGTATGTACGGTTAGTCTGATGGAAGAAGGCCGATTAGCGTACATTTACCTACCGTGGCTCCCTTATGGTGAACGTCGGTCATTTACGGTTGTTGCCCCCAACCTCCAATAGCCATCCAATGTTTAGCGAAATTCGCAACATGCTGCTGCGCGTGCAGAGACATGAATTTCTCTCTCACCTTAGTGGTGCGGACGTACGGAATTCTCGGCAGACGAGTGATTTGGTGCAGGGCTCAGCTGAGAATAAGCGTAACCTCTAAAGACACACCGAAATGAGGCGGTTGATCATCGAGCGAGATGACCACAGATAGCCGCGACGTGTTTCCAGCGTTCGCTAGCTGTCAACTAACTCGCGCTGAGTGCTGATGGTCATGGCCAACCGTAGGCGTTGGAGCGATCGATGGTTATCTCTGTGTGTCTCGCTGGCTACGAGGCGAAATCCGCCTAAGCAAACAAAACTGCCACGTGAATTTGCGCACGTGATGGCAGCTCAGCTGAGGACTAGGTTAGGCATTGCAACTTGTCAATATTATTGCAACACAGGTAATGGAGCACGAGCAGACAATGCAGTCGGGATCACGTAACGTTCCTCTTACTCAGTGCGTGCTGATTATTCGGCTGTACGGTGACTGCGGTTTAAACGCCGCATCAGCTTCAAGAAAATACAATGCAATAAACGCAGAAATGCGTCCCGTCACCGCCCGGTATGTGCTTAGACTAGTGAAGAAGTTTGAGCAAACTGGGAGCGTGTGTAAGATGAAGAGAACCGGGCCGCCTCGCATCACCACGGACGACTGTCCAGCTTGCGCTGTAGTCAGTGAAGTGTCAAAAAGTCCCGACCTGGCAACCGTAGGATCGCACAGCACTGTGACACGACCCGATATGCGGTG